CCAGAAATGGATCTCCTGCCCTGATGGAATGGGAGGCTCCCTACAAATAACACACAGCAAACACAGTCACAATACATACACTGAATCATAGGATGATTTGGGTTGGAAGGACCATAAAGATCATCACATCACACCCCCTGCCATAAGCAGGGACACATTCCACCAGCACAGGTTGCTCCAAGCCCCATCTCCCTGGCCTGGAACACTTCCAGGGATGAAGAAGCCACAGCTGCACTGGGAATTCCATCCCAGCCCCTCCGCATCCTCACAGGGAAGAATTCCTTCCCAATATCCCTCTGGCAGTGGGAAGCCATTCCCTCTTGTCCTATCCCTCCAGGCCCTTGCCAGGAGTCTGTATCCACCTTTCCTGTAGCTCCTTCAAGCACTGGAAGGCCACAATTAGGTCACCCCAAAGCTTCTCTTCTCCAGGCTGAACAATCCCAACTCTCTCAGCCTCCAAGGGACAAAATAACCATCCCCCAGTGCAGAGCTCATGACATCCTAGTGAAGAAGAGGCATCACTTGTGTTCCTGCCCCTCCAGGCCCATATCCCAAGTCCCTCTGCAGCTCTCTTGGAACCCACTTAGGCACTGGAAGGGGCTCTAAGGTCTCCCTGGAGCTTCTTTTCTTCAGGATGAACAATCCAAATTCTCTTAGGCTCCAAGAGACAAAATAACCATACCTCAGTGCAGAGCCCATGTCACCCTAGTAGGAAGAGGCATCACTTGTATCCCTGCCCCTCTCTCCAAGCCAACCCTGCCACAGCCAGGGAAATGAGGACACATCACTCTATGACTTGTTACAGCATAAAATGGATAAAATGTGCCAATAATAAATCTGAATGATGAGATAAATTTGCATAATGTGCCACATCTTGAGGGGAAGAGAACATTAAAACAGGAATAAAAGTGGCTTTATTGGTAAGAATATGTAGTAATGGGCACAGGAACTAGCACAGAACCTGAAAAGGGAGAAATGTGTGTCAGTTGTGAGACACAGGTATCAATTATGAGAAATATCTATCAGTTGTGAGCAGGGTGGTGAGACAATGGCACAGGTTGTCCAGGGAGGCTGTGGCTGCCCCAGCCCTGGCAGTGTTCACAGCCAGGTTGGATGAAGCCTTGAACAACCTGCTCTGGTGGGAGGTGTCCCTGCCCAGGGCAGGGGGTTGGGGCTGGATCATCTCTTAGCTCCATCCCAACCTCTTAACATCCTATGATACTACGAATTTATGCCCCAGTGATGCACTGCAGCTTTGCACTGCTGCACCTGAGCTCATCATTCAGCCTCATATTTCTTCCTAATTAGCTCCTTTCCAGCTCAAACCTAATCCCTGAAGAATGAATCCCTTCAGTGTGGTTTCATTAGCTGGTTAGGATTTATTCCTGAGGAGGTATGACACACATACACCTCAATTCAGACCGAAAGGAGAACGCGGAGCACCACAACGTGGCCAATGCTCTGCCAACTAGACTACCATGAAATACCTTTTGCTGTTTCAAGAGGCTTTACAAGTACTTGGAGCCCAAAGCATTTGGCAAAGAGTTGATATTATAAACAACATTTTATGGTGCACCAAAGGAAAAGCGAAGCCTATAAAACCCAAACCCAACACACAGCAATGTCCACTGTGACAAATGAATCTGTCCTTCCTGCTCTGATCTCTTGAGAAGGTACATGATGTAAACATTTGATTATATTGCACCTGATGGCAGTTTTATTTCTCCTGCAGCAGGAAAAGTGCTGCATTTAAATGATTGCTGGGCTGAATCCTGAGCACTGACAGCAGCCACTGCTTGATGCTTAAAACCTTTAGTCAGCCAAATCTGCACTCAGAAATACGTAGTATAGACTCACAGAATGGTTTGGGTTAAAGGGACATTAAAGATCATCACATCACACACCCTGCTATGGGCAGGGACACCTTCCACCAGCCCAGGCTGCTCCAAGCCCCATCCAACCTGGCCTGGAACACTCCCAGGGATGCAGCAACCACAGCTGCTCTGGGCAACCTGTGCCAGTGCCTCAGCACCCTCATAGAGAAGAACCCTACTATCTGTCAGTGTGAACCATTGGCCTGTGCCTCAAGACCTCTGTAAATCACTCAGGTTTCTCCAAGCCCCATCCAACCTCAGAAGCATTTGGCCAGTGCTCTCAGGCACAGGATGGGTTGTTGCGGTGTCTTGTGCAGGCCAGGAGTGGGACTGATGATCCTTGTGGGTCCCTTCCAACTCTGAATATTCCATGATGCTATGAAAACAGAGTCATTAATCACTTTGGAGAGACCCAAAGTCCTACTGCCACAAGGAGAAACACCTCAAAGACTGGGAATGTACCCAACTACCACCAGCCTTGAGCATCACAGCCCACACATCAGATCTAAAGTGAAACAAAGGAGTGAATCTGTCAATAATCAGAGTTTCATTAAAGATCAGCTCAGAACTGCTGGAAGCATCTCCAATAAATATTAGGAAATCACTGAAAGCAAGTGATTTTTATGCCAATTGGATAAATGCTATCCTTGTTCCACAAATGCTGCTCAAGAGGCTGGGAACAAATGTACTTTCCTCCCACAAGAAAATGCATCAAAGCATTACATAATATGTGCTTTGTCCATTTGTCTCCCACTTGTCACTTGCCACAAACTGAATAATAAAGAGAGAACAAATCTAAACAAGAAGAGATTAAAGCAAAACCTTCTGTAAATACCTGTTTCACTCCTACTGATTATACCCATTGTCAAGTGGTGTTTCTGCTCTCTTTCAGAACATGGGAACTTCTGCAGCTAAAGCAGCAGAAAAATACCTAAGAGCAGGTTTATACTAGCACTAAAACATTGTCCTTGCCTATTGCAGAGGATGAGATGAGCTTTAAGGTCCTTCCAACCCAAACCATTCTTGGGTTGTGGAATTCTATGACATCCTAGAAGCAGCAACAGGGTAAAATCAGCAAGGGAAAATAGATATATTAAGCTTATCATTCTTGTTCCAACTTCCAGCCAGGGTCCAGGATGAGGTATCACATAGGGACATCAGGGAGGGCTCAGTTGCAGACAAGAGTGAGCTGTGACCCCCACAAAAGCATCAGGGAATGCTCCCAATAGAGCTGGAAGACAAAACCTGACTGATTTGGGTTGGAAGGACCTTAAAGATCATCTTTATCCACCCCCTGCCATGGGCAGGGACACCTTCGACTAGCTCAGGTTGC